AACATCTGACACCATTTTCAGCTTACTCAATAAGAAAAATAAATTACAGGAAGTCCAAGAGGACCTCTTAATATTTACAGTATGTAACAAGTAAGCAGTTGGAGGTTTGTGTAAAGCAGAGCAATCTATGACATTAAGCCAGAGTTAAAACAGAGTGATGACACTCATGAAAACTCACTCACTATTACCTACCATAAATTTTAAGAACACACCACTGTAAATTAAAGAGGACCTCTTCTAATTATCAAATTTTGAAAATAATACCTTTTGTGGATTTTTAATTGTTCAGGCTACATCAGTACTAATCCCTGACTGACAGCTGTGAACATCCCACAACAGKAGGAGTTAAAAGTTCCACCCCACGGGCACATTTTCCTCCACAAATTGTGCTTTTCTACATCAATTACCCCAATATTCTTCTCTGGCCAAAAACACTCATCCTGCAAGACCCAGGCTCTCCTGGAAAAGCACCATACTCCCACTCCCTCAGATCAGTGGTACAACAAAATTTGTGCCTGCTAAAAGCTTTGGACTTCCATAAAGGAAATGCCTGGAGGAAAAAAAAAAAAAAAAAAAAAAAAAAAAAAAAAAAAAAAAAAAAAAAAAGGACCCAAGTGAGTTTAAGTAAGAAACACACAACAAAATTTCTACACAGACACCAACATTTTCATGGTAGTGCTACTCATGTGGTCCAAGATAATTCATGATACATGGAGCCTAAGAGTCRCAACAAATCCAAATATATATCAAGGAACAACTCTTCCATGCTTTTAAAAGCCCAATAAATACAAAATTATCCCATGAAAGGAGTCTCAGGGACAGCTAGGATTTGGCCAAGAAAAATAATCCAAAGTTAGATATTGCTGATCTTTCCCACAATAAGCTTTGAGCCCAAACCTCCCTGAATAAGCACCAGTCCCTTTCTCCACAGGTGAAACACCCCCAGCATGGAAACCTCCAGCAAAGACTGTAACAATCCCTGCACCACAAGTTCTGCTGTTTACTGAGAACAGGAGATGCATCCCCTTAGCAAAATCCCAGCATTCCCTTCTCAGTGCACCACGAGCTACAACAGCATCACATACWGAAATTCTTAATAAAAAGAGGCAGAAGTTTTATTAATCCACAGGATTTCATGTGCTTCTGAACGCTAATTTTGATTCAGACAAAAAACTCTCTTCACTGAACTGGGGAAGAGACCATTCAAGAAGCAGGGTCACAAGTTTGCTCCCCCAGCTCACATCCCTTCTTCTGCTCTTGTAAGAAACAGAATGCAAATAATAGATAATTAATAGAAAGCAAACACCCTGCTGTTTTCTCATCATAACAAGCCATAGAAAAAGAAGTTTACACTAAGAAATCTTCAAATAATCATATGAATAGAATCGAGAAAAATAACAATACAGACCAMAACCAGACAGATGTGTTTTCTCTTAAAGATTTCCTTTCACAAAACAAACTATCCAACAAAAAACTGATTTTTTTCAAGGCTGACAAAGTTCAGGTCCAGCATACAAGAAATTCCAAAACCATCCAAGAAATCATAAAGTGAATGTGAACAATGGCTATCTTGAGCAATGCCCTTGTAAAAGCCCTGCCAGTTTTACAACATTTAAATATTATTTCATGTGAAAACAGGAGAGAGAAATTAGAAAAGAAACAGTGCTTTCAAAGAAAAACATGCACATTTTTCAAAGAAAACTTGCAATCGAGCTCAAAAATAGAACTGAGTAATTCTTTACTGACAGACAAACATCTGTGGGCTTAGACCACCAAACTCCAGGCAGTACAGCAAAAGACAATGAACATATTTAAGACAGTCAGACTAATACTAATGAAATCAAGTACTCAATGGTATGTGAAGGGTCTGTTTTATTCCTCCCATATGATCAGAGTTTGACTTAAATGAGACCATTCACTGGTCTAATTAGGATTCAGCAAATGTCACCTTCTTTTTGAAAGCTGATGAAGCCTCAGTAAAAATGCTGTCACCCACAAATAACCTCAGTAAATTCTAAATTAMAATAGCTCCCCATATTCACAAATTTCTCTTCTCTGCAGGTACAGAGCAGTCAAATTTTGATACCTTAAGATATAAAAATATTCTTTTTAATCATACTTTTCTGATCTCTCCTTTGCCAACAGATTTAAGGCATTCTGCCCTTCCATAATATACAGCAACAGCGCTTGCACTTCACTACTCAGACACTCCACAGTCACCGTGGGTCAGATGCAGCTGTGCCTGACACAAACCAGAACACATCGTGGTCCCAAGGTCATATAGGTCATATATGATCCCTAAAAACACACAGTAATTTTTATATAAGCCAGAAAATTGTATTAGCTACACAACTGTCTCTCTGACACTAAAACCAAGTTAAGAGTATTTTTTAAAAAAATGTGTTGAGATCACTTACAGATTTGAATATACCACATTTCTGTATAAAATTAAACCTAGAGGAACTGCTCACATGATTTTATAAATTTACAATTCTAGCCCTAATAACTAAGAWCACAAACAACAGAATTACAGAAGCATTTCCTGAGAACGGGCAAAAGTACCAGGTCGCTTTTGTTCAGTATTTTCAAAGAGCAACACAGACCTCTACTGGCAACACTGGTGAGCAAGGCTTTGCTCATACCAGCAGMAGTTTTTTTCTCTGTAAGCTCCTGTTGAGACGCTTTAACAGAAAAACAACACTCCAAATTGCACACACCCCTTCAATTCCTCACAGTAGAATAAGCCCTACTGACTCTAACAGAACCAACTGACAATTTACACTACTCATGTTTAAATGTACAGAGAATAGTATGCTTTTAAAACAAGGACTGGCAGCACAAGACTAAACCGTTCAGTAAGTCTGTCCTACGTCTTTTTACTACACCAACTTTACTACTACCAAAAGTTACCTCAAATTTCTAATGTGATATTCAGACTAAAATTTTGATTTGAGATTAAAAGAAATAGGTAAGAAAAGAAACCCTGAAGAATAGTTGGACTGCACTGTCAGAAAAAAAAGCTTCCAAAATTAAAAATAAAGTTACTAGTAACTCTTGATCTGCTATGATCTCTTTSTATTGTAAAAACAGAATAAATCTTTAACCTTTTCCAAGTTACTAGTCAAAAATAATGAAGCATTTCTAAATGTAATTGTTTAGTACTTTTTCCCTCACACTTTTCACAACAATTTTGAGGATGRCTTAAGAAAGTGGGTCTATAATCTAGGAAATTCTTACAGTCCTCTTTCCTTATCAGGAACGAAAAGAACCAGCCCAGGGCAGACAGTCTCCCTGTTTAGACACAGTAAGAGATGTTAATTGCAACAAGGCAATGTCTGACACCACTAAAACCACTGAAGTCATCTGAGGTATTCCCTCAGTAACTAAGCAAGCATCTCTAGTTTTTAGAAGTTTAAATTTTTCAACTATAAGGGAAAAAAAGTGTTCCTGACAAGCTATGTAGGATTCCCTGTATTAGATTCACAAATAAAGAGAATTAAGATGCCATTCCATCTTTGCTGATGTGTTTTTAACGTCGCTATCTTACAGTAGTGCACATAGATGAATAAAAGCAACTTTTATATGTTCATCCATCTTTCAAGGGATTCTCAGCATTTTCCAAACTTTATCTTGAGCATCCAGCAATGCAGTAGTTGGAAATGCATTTTTCTGACTGCAGTCTACAAACTTACAGCTTGATCTTTGTTGCACCCATCCTGAAATGAAACATTTCTCAACAAAGGGAAGATACCATACTTAGTTATGTCAAATACACCACTCAAACTCATTTGGACAACAATCACAGGATTCAGTGATATTTTTCTTTGCATTGTTGAGTACAAATGTTCAGCAAGTAATATATTATTTTTCTGTCTCTTTCTACTGATTGGACAACAATATTTCCCTGGAATTATTTATGCTTACCTGTAAAAGAAAACATTTTGGTGTTTCGAAATCACAGGAATTGTTTACTCCTCAAAATATTCAGGGAGGAAACTACTACCTTCAACATACACAGAAAATTTAAAAGTTATACCTATAACACAAAACGGAGCACAGCACTGAAATCCTAAAAAAAACTGCAAAATAAGCTCCAAAACTGGTAAGACTCCCCTTGACCGAGCTAATTAATCCATGCTCCATGGCAATTGATAAGAAGCATCAGACACTGCATAGGACTAAAGCAGCATTAAATACAACATGAAATGCAAGGGTTTTATGGGCCATAACACCATCTCAATCACAAATCTGCTACCTTCATTGGAATCCTAACCTCATATAGCAGCACAAACCCAAGGCTTATTTCACTAATGCTCCCACTCTCCTTGGTATGCTTGTGAGCAGGGATGATATTTTACCCTCATCAGCTAATATAAATCAAAAAGTATATATACAGAAATCTACATAGATATACGTGTGTGTGTGTGTGTGTGTGTTTATCTGGGCATGTATGTCACAAGCAACAAAAGATTTGGAGCAAGAATATGACTGATTACGTGTGACCAATCCAAATTATAAACTAAGGAAGAAACATGGGGGGAAAAAAAAAATCAGCAGCCTCCTTGGAAAATCTTTACCTGAGTTTACTTGCTGGCATTAGAAAGYTTTTCTAAAGACTTTGCCTGAACTGCCCTGCAACCACACGAAACTCATTTATTGTTCCAACCACCAAGGATATAAAAGGATCATAAAAAGAAACTTCCCTTCTCTTTCACAGCCATCCTTTATATATTTGCATAATGTAAAATGCCTCCATTGGTATTCTTCTAGACAACAATTAATGGTTTCAGCATTTGATGTCTTTCTTGTAGTTCTCCTGTAAGCTCCAAACTCTCCCCACGTTTTTAAAAAACAGCTTTCTAACTAGGGATTTCATATGAAAAAAGTGCAAACTTTTTTTCAAAAAGTTTGAAAACCAAAAATACACAAATATTTAAACATACAAGTAGCCTGCAAGACAAAATTTGCCGTATTTTACCTTATGTGCAATATTAACCTACCTATTCCTGAATTTGCTCCTGTGATTATAACCACCTTCCCACTCAAGTCACGACCCTGGAGTATTTCCATTGCAGTACTGTTCCCATCATATTTTTGTCTAGTAGTAGGCTTCATTGGATTATCTTCAACTGTAAAGGCYAGTCTTGGGTCAAGGTAGGTAGTCCTTTTGTTTATGTGGCTGCAAAAGAACAAAAAATTCAGCTGTGAACCCTTCCATACTCTGCATTTAGATTTTAAATGTATTTCAATCACTGCTRTGTACCATTCCAGTGAATTATTCACAGTCATCAAAATCAGATGCTTTTTTTCAGTTTTGTTAGAATCATCCCAATTGCTTTTTTAATCTAACTTTTTCTCCAGTTGTGACAGCATCTATTAATTATTGCATTTACATACTTCACAAGCTATTCTGAACTTCACATGAACCCCTGACATACAAGACAGAATTTTGTCAGGGGAAAAAAGAAAAAAATCTTGTTATATTAGGAAATACCATGTTCTCTCATAAGTCTATAAAAGGACCCCACACTTGTCCTTGAAACAGCAGACACTGAAAAATCTGCATTTGGATTCTGAAGCTGCACTTATTAATCTCTTTGTCTTTCCAGCTGATATTGTCACAGTACCATAACTCAAAAGGCTACTCAGCATGTAACCCAGTTGTCCTCCTTGAATATATTCCACTATTTCACATACTTACTCTACAAAATAGACTTGTCCGTTTTCATCAGTCTCCTGCTCCCATCCATATGGCAGATCTGGGAAGYACACAAAACATTAACTTCACTTCAGGCATTAGAATATCCTCCAGTTTGAAGTTTAAGTGATTTCTCAGACTGATGAGACACAATTCTGCATTATTTCTGTACTCAGTGAAGCTACCTGCTGCCCTTGARTATCAGAACTTGAAAGGATTGCTTCCCTAATCACACACATTTGCTCTSTCATAGAAGTACAATACACAGAAGATCCAGTACAAGTGTAACTGGCAGATTAAGTAAAAAGACAATCTAAAATATCTTTAGAAAGATTGTTTCAGATTATAGAACAAAAAAGACCAGCAAAATGCAATCATGCTTCCAAACACATACACATCTATACTACTTACAGTTCAGTATCAATCTCTGATAAAATAAATAGAAAAAAAAAGTTACATGTAACACATACCAAAAGTTAAAAGATCAGAGCCCTCAAGTGGGCATGAGATCATAGAATCATTTAGGTTTGATTTAATGTAAGTTGGAAGGATGGATGAAAGGACAAAAATAGTAACTCTTTACATAACAAATTCATCTACAAAAGTACCTAAGAGATGACATTCACACTATTTCTAATCCTGACTGGAAACTACTCATTTCAATTTTATTGTTTTAAGATTTACCAAAAACATTCCACTCACAGTCAGATTACCAATGCCAAAAGAAGCATGTCTTGTCAACAGTGTAGTTACCCCCAGGTGTAAAAACTTCTGGGAAGATCTGATTTAAGGCACTGACCAAAGGCCCATGAAAAGTTATTTTCCTCTGGAAGTGTCCTGCAACACTGTCTGCCTTCCATCCTGGCACAAATATTCAATTGGGTTGGGGGAACACAGATAAAATGAAAACTAAAGAGGCTTCCTTCTGCACCAGGGACATTCCTTGATGAAACACATTCTTTGCAGAATATAATCCAACCATAAATATAATCTGATGGACATCAGGAAAACAGAGACCTCCAGCTTTTGACTACAAGTGGCCTTACAAGCCACACTGAAACAAACCCTGTAATCTGGAATTAGTACTTTGGCTTTATGGAGCAATACAAGAAAGCCATAAATAAAACTGCAAAGTGATCACTCTACACAGACACAATCAGAGGTAAAACMCCACTGAAATCAGCTGTATTCTGCAAGCTCAGTTTGCCTAGGTGATTAGTGACWCTAGGAGATCAAAATGAGATCAACTGGAGTTGTGGAGGAGCTAGGTGTTTGCAATATAGTATCAGCTCATAACAAAAGTTTAACACAAACCTCCTGCAACACGCTTCCTCTTCCCAGACTTAGGATGCTCCCATTGTGTTTTTTCTTCTAGATGGCTGAAGGAAAAGAAAAGTTTAAGATTTTAAAAAATTGCCTAATAATCTTTCTGATGTAATCCAAAGTATCGCCACAGTTCTGAAAGTAACTAACCAGAGAGCTATAAAAATTCAAATAGATGTCCAACTTCCAATACAAGTTTTGTTGCTTATGAGAAGGAAAAAAAMCYAAAACTCATTGAAAAATAACATTAACAGACTCAGAAAACAGCTCAAAAAYATGATCCTTGGCAGGAATAAGGAAGAAAAAGCAAGAAAAGAAAAGAAATCACAAACTAGTAGCAATAATATTAGAAAGTCTTCAAATCACAAAAGCACCTTTCTAAAACTCCTCTCTAATAATATTGATTTGCAGACTGTAACATAAATTGGATTTCTACATGAGCAATTGCAGCTTTGGACAGATAAGTTTATCCACAGGCCTTGACTAGCAGGATATTTATTTAATATGCATAATAATGGCATCACATCTTCTAATTCAGAGACTTCATCCACTTAAATCACTAGCAGAATTAAAATACTCCATCATAAGGTTTTCTGCACYGGAGACTAAAAGCAAAGTGATATGCACATAGAAAAGGTCTTAAAATAACCAAAGTGCTGGAATCAGGTTGGATATTAAAATCTCATATTTCATTATTTTTAAATAACAACCAAGTTTTAAGAGTAAGACAGGGATTACCTGAGTGTTCAAATCGAGGGCTGCCCAAGTGTGAAATAAAGAGTAAGAGCAATAAATAACACACACAAATAACCTACAGGCCCAGTAGCAGCAGCGATTTACACATAACATAAGCAACTTTCCCTTCTTACAGCAACCCCACAGTGACAGCACATGGTCTTATAGGAATCAGCTGGGAAGCTGAGACTGAACAGGTGCACCTGTGTAACCTGAAAATACCAGGTATGTAACCAAATTACAGCAGCCTGACAAACAAATGCTGTCCACCTGTGTGCACAGCTAACTCATCATAAACACTTTTAAAAGTCTTAAACCAAAATAACCTTCTTCCAGTTAAGTATAAAGTTCATATTGGTGACGATGTTTAAAATAAACTCTCAGAATATGCAGAGGCATCACACATACAAAGTCTATTAAAGGCAGCAACAGTTCAACACCTCYTCGTGTCAAACATTTTTAGACACACTGGGCAGGATTTTCAGACAGTAACGATATATTCACGTTATGTCATTAAATTGAATCGGTCCAGTTTCACAACAGTTCAGAAACTGACCTGTTGAACTGATTGTGTCACAATTATGCTCAGCAGTGCGCTGTTATTTCATAGRTTTGTTACTTTTACGAAGTGATTCCTTCCTGAAAGAGCTTTTGAAGTCAAAGGAAAACACATGAAACTGACTTAAGAAAAACAAACACCTAGAGAGAAACTGCAGTGTTTACAAAGTGTGGATAAACTAAAGCATTCTATGCAGTTTTTGTAAGAGAACTCGGGAGGAAGAGGCCAACTCCGTACGGGTGAGAATGATAACTTTTGTGGAAGGGAATAAATCTTGTAGCTTTAAGCAAACCAAAGGAGACCCCAAGATCAGCACGGCTACAGAAACCGCGTGAAAGTGTGCAAACATGTTTTACTGACTTAGGTCATCCTGCGGCACATCCCCTTTGTAACCTGGGAGGATGCAATCGTTTCCAGGGGCAGAGGGTGCTAAAACAGATTGTTTATTTGTTGCCCAAGATGCACCCAAGAGCTCAGGGACAGCGCGCACATCTCTTAACTTCCACCGAACCTGTTTCTCCCCTGTTCCCATAAGGAAGAAAAGTGACCGATGTGCAATATTGTGCAAGGCTTAACCAGAAYGTATGAAGATCGCCCACGGAGCCCTGAGGTGCGCTGAAACAGCTCGGGGACAGCTCCCGGCCGCTGCCCGGAGCATCATTCCCACGCTCCGGCACCATTCCCACACGGGGCGGGTGGCGCTGGCTCAGCACCGCTCCGAGCCCGGCTGTCAGAGCCCATCCCGCACCTCCAGCCCAKCCCAGCGCTGCCCGGAGCCGGGCGGGCACCGCACACAGCCCCCCGGTCCCCCGCAGCCCGGTCCCGCCGCCCCAGCGCTGCTCGTCCGTGAGGGGCCGCACGGCTCCTGCCCCGCACCCGCTGCGGGCGGGCGATCAGGGGGGCGCTCCCGGTGCGCTCGCCGCGCTCCCGCCCTTACTTGGCGTAGTAAACCCAGCCGTCCTTGGTGGTGCGCTCCTCCCAGCCCGGCGGCAGCTCCTCCTCGCTGTCCGTGTCCTCCAGCCCCGTGTACTTGAGCGCGGCCATGGGTCCGGCGCGGCCCCGCTCCGCCGGCGCGCGCCGCTTCCGCCCGGCCGCGGGGCACCATGGGAGTTGTAGTTCGCCCCACACGGCCGCGGTGCGGCGGGGTCAGTGCGGTCAGCGAGGGGATGGACCCTGCGAGCGGCCCCGGCCGGGCTCGGCACAGGGATCGAAGGGTTCCAGGCYGCTCTGCTCGGCCCTAGGGAGGCACATCTGGAGTGTTGTGTCCAGCTCTGGGGTCTTCAGTACAAGGGAGCTCATTAGTGTGTATCTCATAGGCGGGTRCCAAGAGGATGGTGCCCGACACTTGGTGGTGGTGCCCGGCATCAGGACCATAAACTAAAGCACAAGTTCCACCTCAACATGAGGAAGAACTTCTTTACATTGAAGGTGGCAGAGCTCTGGACCAGCTGCCCAGGAAGGTCATGGATTCTCCCTCTCTGGAAACGGTCAAAACCCACCCGGACACGTTCCTGTGCCACCTGCTCCAGGTGACTCTGCCTTGGCAGGGATATTGGACYGGATGATCTCCAAAAGTCCCTTCCCATCTGAGCAATTCTGTGATTTTCAGGGCATTAAGTGTTTCCTGCCCTCTGTTTTCAGAGGGGTGAATACACCAAAGCCCTGGTAAGCAACAGGAAATGTGCAATTCTTTAAGCTTTCCACCCTTAGCTGTCACCTGCTGATCTGGGGGATGAGACCCTTCTTCATGGCCCCGTTTGTCAGGAAGACCAGGCTGGAGAGAGGTCCCTGGCTGTGCTAATGTCCACTTGGGAGGTTCCAGACTGCTTCACCTGCTCAGTGAAGTACAGTCACCCTTGCCAAGCCTGGCTCACTTGGTGACACAGCACAGTCAGCTGCAAAGGCTGAAGCATTCAGTGAGTTGGCAGAAACCTGCAGTGACTCTGTCCTGTCAGCCCCGTGTGCAGCTGTGACAGAGGCACGGGGAATGGCTGTCACCATTGCTCATTCCCGCACCTGTATACCGACATATTCCGGTCTGTTTACATACCCAAACCCAACAGGCAGCGTTTGGAACAGCACTGCTGGCCTTTGGAAGGTGTTTTAAACAACAAACAAGGGCAGAGGCTGTGAGCTGCACACCGCACCAGGTGGCACTGCAGCCCCACAAAAGGCTCCGAGCCTTGCAGTCGAATWTTCATGCACTATTTGAGACACTGACCTATATGGTTCCCTTATCCCCGCTAATGGCATCCATATCCGGACAAAAAAAAGCAGCCCGATTTTTTTTTTTCTGCCCTGCTGCTCCCGTTGCTTTGCAGGTTCCCCCGAGGGATTACACGGACTAAATGATCTCCTCCCGCTAGAAATAAAAACTCGCGCATCATCAACAGCCTGTTCTCATGCGAGTATTGCTGGCAGGATTTTAAAAAGCTGTGACTATACTTTCTTGGGTAAACATATGGGGAGGGAAATTTCAGCTACATACTCGCTTCTGGTCCAAGGAGCTGTTGAAATACTTCATAGGTGACTAAATGGTGAGATGTGCCAGGTCCCAAGAAAATAGATTATTTAAGAGTATTTTAAAAGATTATTAATAGAATATATTTGTAGTACAGAAGAAGAGTTGCAATCCAGCAGTAGCGGTGTACGAATAGGTAGCTGTTTGTTTTCTTGCTGTTGCAGTCTGTCAGCATGCAGCATCCAGCACTCCATGAATTGCATTTAGTGGGAATGTGGAAATCATTTGTCTTACACTTTATCCCAGCCATCTGTAGTGCATCAAGTGTGCATTATGGCCTGGATGCATYCAGCAGCATCCCTGCAGCTCAGTGACAAGGGTGTGTGCATGTTCCCCCTCCTTCAGGAGAGGCTCACCCTGACCAGCAGAGCTTTGAAGCCAAACCATGCACAGCCACACTGTCTCCATGCTRTGGCTCTGGGACCCTCTTGAGGGACTGGGACCGGGCTGCAGTGACCCAGGACAAGGCAGACAGTGACACACAAGCAGGGACAAGGACTAACCAGGATATAGGGACAGGATCCTTCCCAGGAAGGACTTGGAAAGGGCTATGGCCTGGGACAGCCAGACCTTGATGGGGGACAAACAGGGGTCCTGGCAGTGGACAGGGATGCTGGATCTCCCGGGGACCCTGCTCAGTGCAAGTTGTACAGCCATGGGTGTTTTCTTCCACCTTGGATCCATCCTCATTAGGCTCCAGCTGGCAGCTTTCCAGGTTCCATCCTCTCCTGACATATAGGGCAGCTGCCTATGGCTACCCCGAAGCCAAAACACCCCATAGCCTCCCCCCATGTGTACCCTGGGCTGCCTTCTGATGGGGTTGGTGGCCAAGGTGCCCCCCCTTTGCCCTCCCTGCCTGCCAGGTCTCTGCAGGCAGGCCCCAGGAGGGCTCAGACTCATTTCCCTGCAGCATGTTGGAAAGAGCACAGCAGGTTCTTAACATCTTTATTAGTTTGTTGGTTTATTTCCAACACAGTAACTCCTCTCTACAGCAACAGGTTAGTTAAATCCGGTTTACATATTGCTGTCTCGTGAGTGCCACGGCCTCGATGCCGCTGTGACAAAACCAGGCTGCACTCAAGACAGGAAAATGTGTTAAATTCCGCTGTGACTGGGGAAAAAAAGGGAAAACCAACAAAAATCAGAAGAACAAACCACCAGGGAGAAACAAACCAACCAACCAACAAAATCAAGGTGAGGAACTGAAGGCGAGCACGGCCACACCACCTCCAGGGAAACCACACGGCACTGCTTGGACAAGAATGCAAGGAGGGAACCCAAAAAGGTCAGGAACTGGGCAAACCCTTATATATATATTATGTATAGGTATTTATATATATATATCATCTGGAASGACGCTGAGAAAACAAGAGATCGCAGCGGTATCTACCGTAAAAAGGAGCTACGTAGCTTTCAGAGTCACACCAAGAAGGAAGCACACAGCAGAACAAAGTGGGGGACAAACGGGGACAAACTGGTGTTTTGGGGTGGCCTTTTCCTGTGGGAGGGATCAGGTGGGGCACGGGTCTCAGGGCCAAGGGCCCTCATACACCCGCTGGGAGCCCCAGGAGCTCTGTGCCCTCCACTGGGAGCAGGGATGGGGTCTGGGGGGTACAATGCTTTTGTGGGGCCAGGTGGGACCTGCTTCCAGCGGGCTGGTTCTGCTCACCCAGATGGTGGCACCTGGTGGGTTCCCTGCTCAGGTCCCCCATGAACAACCTACAGAGACCTGAGCACCCGTCACCAGAGCCAGGGCTGTCCTTGCTGTGCCCCACGGCGGGCACAGGAGGGGCTGGGTGCTGCTGCTGCTCCAGCAGCTGAGGCTGGTGGCCAGCATTGGGGTCATGCAATGACAGGGTCTCTGTGCTGAGTGCCAGAGGCAAAAGCCACCCGGAATCTGTGGCCAGATGGGGCCCCACAGCCCGGGGGGAGCCAAGCCCTTGAGAGACACCCCACTCAGTGTGCAGGCAAAATGCTGGGGGTGTGGGGTGTGGATTTGGGGAGCCACAGTGGGTCTGGCCAGCTCTGTGGACACTGGAGTGCTCCCTCCATCCCATGGGTCACCCCACACCGCCAGCACCTTGCAGGGATGCACCTTGCAGGGCAGAGGGTGCTGAGGGCTCCCCAGCACAGTGGGGCCAGTGTGTCATCTTATTGCTGATGGCTCCACGGTGGTGACACCCACGGGTTGTGACAAAACTTGAGGTGGGATTTGCTGTGTGACATCCCCTAAAACAGCAGCCCTGGACCGTGGTGGGCTCAACCCAAGASCCAGGAGTGGAACTGACGGTGTGGCAGCCACAAAGCCAGCCAATTCCCCCTCCCCGTGCATTCCTGGTGGCGGGCGGTAATTGTCCTTGCAGCAAGGGACAAAGAAGTGCCACCACAGGCGAGGGCATGGGCAGAGGCAGGGGGACACTCGCGCCACCCTCCTGCCCTCCCAGCTTCTGGAGAAGGGCTGATCCCTCTTCACTTGCCCCAGGGCAGCCCTCGGGGTACATGGCCAGGGCGAAGAGACAGTTTGGGATGTGATTTCTCACAAGGCTCAGCTAGCTCTGGGGTAGCAGATCCTGGGTGTGCTGGGGAATCCTGTGCTAGCTCTCCCCAGAGAGGGCCATCAGGGAGAAATGAAAATTGCATCCTTAGRCACAGACCATGACCCCCAGTAAGTGCTGCTCCCTCTTCCTCTCTTCCTTTTGACTTGGTCAGCCATCAGTTGAACCTGGCAGACCAACCTACCTCCTGTGTCCTCTCCACGTGCTGTCCCATCCCATCCCAACATCCTGTCCCCATCTCACCACCCTGACCCTGCTACCCCATCCCGGCCCTGTCCCCCTGCCACCCACCCTCCCAAGCCGGGGCCGAGCCGATGCTCGGGAGGGTGAGGACCAACGCAGAACCATGTGTGACTGCTGGACGAAGCCCCTCTCCTTCTCCTGTAGCAGACAAGGGGATGAGGCCGATGGCAAAGAAGACAAATTGACCCCGAAGAAGCGAGGGCCCTGGTGGAGGATGTCCACGGGGCGGGTGGGTGCTGGCGGGATGCTGACRGATGGGAGATGGCTCTGAAGGAGACGTCGGCAGCGGGCGTGGACCTCAGCACGATACCTCCATGGTGTGGTTGATCTGCCCCATGGCCTCGGTGCTCTCCGAGTGGGTGCAGGCACGCGGGCGGGTGCCATCCACGGAGCTGGCGCTGGTGAGGGAGGCCGTGCGGGAGCGTGCCAGGCGGGTCATGCTGGCAGAGGGCACTGCACGGGCACAGAGAGATGGCGGCGGTGCTCAGCTCCCTCTGAGAGCCTGGGGGACCTGAGCCAACGCTGCCACCAGCCCTGCTCCCCGATGCCATCGAGCCTGGGCACAAGCTTGCAGCAAGCAGTGCTGTGGCAGCATGAGAGACAGCAGGGCAGGGGTGCTCTGGGGCACGCTGGGCTCTCTCCTGGGCATGCAACCTCTGCGCATCAGGCAGGTGCGACCCCTGMGTACCACACTCCAGGAAAGGAGTGAGCTGGGATCGGAGCTCCCCTGGCTCCCCGGCRTGTGCAGGGAAGGTGACACCCTCCCCCAGCCAGGATGGCAGTGGGCACAGTGGGCACGCTGCCCAGACTGTGCCTGCGTGGAGGGGGAACTCTCAGAATGCCATTTGCCAGCCCGCAGCCCCGGCTCAGAGTGCCATCGCAGGCAAAGCGGAGCGAGGCCGTGGGCACCCGGCTGGGAAGGGCCGGTGCTGTGGCCAGGCTGCTCCCCAGGGCGCCCGGGCAGCGCGGGGGCACCGGCCAGGCAGGCTCCATGCAGCAGCGGGCACGGGCCGAGCAGCACTGAGCGGTACCTGTGCCTCCACTCAGCCGCCGGTCCTTCAGGTGGGTGACTGGCAGGGGGAGCGGGATAGGGGCAGAGAGAGAGGGTCAGCCCTGCCAGCCGCTCCGCTGGCCCAGAGCCCCTGCCCTGCCCACGTGTGCCCGCACACGGAGCTGTCCCTGAGCACGCACACGGCACACAAACACACACACACATACACAACACAGACCTGCACACACATGTGCACATGGACTTCACATGCATGCACACACAGGTAAAACACAGACCTGCACACACACACTCACAGGTCATAAACTGAGCACACACACACAAGCACACAGATCTTTGCACATGGGCTCTGCTTGACTTTGTTGCACACACACGGCCCTTGCTCATGCATGCCACACACACACGTGCACACCGACACAGGGAGCCTGACACACACGTATGTGTACACATCTGTGTGCACACAGAGCCTGTGCACCCCATGGCCCTGCAGACACACAGACATCTTCCACAGCTGTACACACGGACAGACATCTTCCACAGCTGCACACACAGCACCACACGCACATGCAGCTCTGCACCAGGATGGGCACGCAGGGGTGCCAGGCTCCCGTCCTGCAGGTGTGTGCACACAGGCACACTCACACGGGCACACAYACCCGCCCCAYRCCCAGCCCCGGCACTCACTGTAGCCCATGCCTTGCAGGAAGTACTTGAAGGCTTCGGTCAGCTTGCCAGGCTGTAGGGAGAGAGCAGGCTGAGCTCAGCTGAGGCAGCACCGAGGCTGAGATCCCTGCTCAGCCCCGAACTGCTTCTGGCAGCCCATCCCCAGCTAGCCAGGGACAGCACCAGTGCATGTCTCAGGGCCCAGTAYGCCCAGTTAACTGGGGAAATTGTGAGGGCTCACCTGTGTGACCTGGGGCAGCCCACCGGAGTCAGCCATCTGCAGAGAGAAGGTTGTGCTTAGTATGGCTGCACCACCCACCAGCCCCCAGTGCCCGCTGGCAGGGTACCAGTGCTGGGGTCACCCTGCTCTCCCCATACACCCCCAGCTCCAAGGTCCAGGATGGACATGGAATGCCCTGCAGCTCTGGGGCAGAAGGTAATGGGGCATTTCATGGGCAGCAGGGACCTTCTGGCTGCCCCTTGCCACCAGCCTACCTTCAGGAATGTGGTGTTGGTAGGATCCAGCTTGGAGTTACACTCCACCTGTGGGCACAAGAGAGATGATATTAGCACCCTAGGGTGACCTGGGCCAAGCAAAAGTTGCCCAGATGTACCACCTCTGGCCCACAGCATTCCAGCTGGGGCAAACCCCACCCAGCCAGGAGGAGACGGAGCACTGCACGAGCCCTGAGCCTGCAGGACCACCATCCCCTGCCATGGGACAGAGGGGACTTTCCTCCTGCCAGCTTTGGGCAAGGGCAGGGACTGCAAAGGGAGGTGAGGGGGGGCTGGTGAGGCATTCTGTGTCACAGCCGTGTGTACATTATACATGTGGCAGAGCAGAGCTGTGTGCCTGCAGTCACACATTGTGCCCAAATGTGGCCACCTGCACTGCACCTGTGGCTGSTGTGCAAGGGTGACAACCACGTGGGTGTGTGCAGGCACACAYGTGTGCCAGCGGCTGCATGGATGCACACGGCTGAGCAGGGAGTGTGCCCGTGTGCTGACACACCTGAGTGTGCACATCGTGAGCACATCTGGGCACGTGAAAAAGGGGAAGCATCCCAGGTGTGGCACAGCTGCACAGGTGCCCACAGCAGCAGGAAGGTTTGTACACAAGCACACCCCTGCTCCCCAGAGCTGCCGTGTGCCAGAACAGGCAGTGAACACRCGTGTGCCCGTGCGTGGGCACCGCCCGCCTGTCACCCCGCGATCACTCACCACCCCCTCTTCAGCGGGCGCGTTGTCCCCGACCACCAGCATCACGGGGCAGCTGCGAGTGACAAAGAACCTGGTCAGGGTTTGGCCTGGGTGAACCCCACCGCCCCAGGACCCCTCTGTGCCTCGCCAGCACGACTCTTACCGCAGCGTCTTGGCATTGGGCACAGTCCCRGGCCGGTTGATGTCCAGGTCCCTGCGGCTGATGGAGGAGAAAGACCAGTGTGAGCCCATGGGCAGATGCCACCACCAATGCCACAGCACAAGAATCGGGCCACTGCCAGCCCCGAGAAGCAGCAGCCTGTCCCGTTATCCCAGCATCATGCACATGGAGGATGCCACGGCCATCTCTGCCATGCAGAGCCTGTGCCACAGGATGGAGCACCCAGCAGAGTGGCAGGGCTGGCAACCCCTGCATGGGACAGCAGCTCTGACCCCTTTCCCATATCTGTGCCAGAACACAGTGCAGGAGGAGACTGGGGGATGTGTACCCATGGCTGGGGGCTCTGGCACAGGTACCATCACTCCCCCATGTCCAGAGACAACTTTGCACTGCCCCTGCACGCACCCAACAGGGGTCTGGGCTCCCACAGTGACCCCAGAGCCACCCACCCGCACTGCAGCCCCTGGCCCTGGCACAGACAGCCCAGCAGCCCACTCACCTGTTGTACACGTTGAGGAAAAGCTGGAGGTTGAACTGGTTCACCACGCTGACGATCTGCTGCCGGTAACTCTGCACCAACTCCGTGCTGTTCATCAGCTCTTCCTGTGCCGGCAAGGGATGGAGATCAGGGTGGGTGCTGGGGTTGCACCCTGCTCCCCCTGTCCTGCCCACACCGTGCCAGCCAGCATGGATGAGGAGGAGGATGCTGGGCAAGGCAGCTGGGCACGGAGGTGCTGCAGGCACAGCCGGGCAGGACATGGGCACGAGTCACACACCCATCAGGGTGAAGCCTCAGAGCAGGCAGGGCTTGACTAACCCCAACCCTGCACATGGGACAGGTCCAGTGGCACTGTGGCACCTGGCAGGGCACAACCTGGGTGGCCCAGCTGGATGCTGGCCTGGGGCTGGTGGCAGGGGCCCGGCAGGACACACAGCCCTTACCTGGCTGAACAGGTGGGACAGGACAAAGTCCGGCAGCGTGCTGGTGAGCCCGGAAAGCTGTGGAGGGAGCACAGGGAGTTATGGCACTGCCATGGCTGCCTCCTGCCCCAGGAAACCATCAGGACCAGGAGGAGGGGTCAGTGCCCTGCCCACCTTGGCAGCTGCCCAGTCAATCCAGCCTTTGCCGTTGGGGTCGATGTTCATCAGGACCAACCCTTCGACCAGGTCAGGGAAGATGAGCTGCAGTGATGAGAGGGGAGAGGCTCAGAGAGGGTGGCAAGTGTGCCCTGGGCAGCCCCCCACCACAGCCACTGCACAGGATTGCACAGAGCTGATGTGACCCTGTCCTGCGAGCCACGGGAGACCTGTAGCAAGACTGCCGAGCCCCTGTGGCTGTGGCACTGCCCTCCTGGGTCCCCCAGCTCTCCAGGAGCAGCAGCAGAGACTGCCTGGAGGTATCAGCTCCTGCTCAGCCCCATGCCCTGGGCTGACAGCAGGCACACAACTCGGGGCCAGCCYACCCCAGCCCCAGGCTCACCGCAAACTTGGCCAGCACGTAGGCTCCTGCCCCAACACCGATCCCGATCACGTACTTGAACCTGGAAATACGGAGAGATGTGAATGGGGGCACAGTGAGCTCCAGCACAGCTGCCCTGGGACACCCCTCCACCTGCAGCAAGAAGACTTGCAGGATGCCAGTTCACAGGAACAGTTCCCCCAGCCCCAAACCCTTCTCCCTGCCCAGGAACTTCAGCCAGCAGCTGTGGAAGAGAGGCTAACTCACCCAAAATGCTGCACCACGCTGGGTAACATGGCAGCCAGCTGGTCCATGGATGGATACTGGTACCTGTGGCACAGGGAGGCACAGGATGGTGGTTATGGACCCTGCTCAGAGCAGGATGTCTGGGACAGGGCAGCTGGGTGGCCTGAAATGGGCAGGGAAATGCCACCCACCTGCAACCACCCTATTGCCCASCCTGGGCCAGGCTTTGGCACAGTTTGGAAAGACCCACAGGTCTGCCAAAAACCCAAGGGGCAGGGGGGTGACATCGCAGCAGGCACAGGGARCCCCTGCAGCTGGCACCTACCCCTGAGGGAACTGTGAGGCTCCTGCCTGCTGGCCCGGCGCGTCCACGTGGCACACCACAAAGTGCTTCGTGATCTCTTGCATGTCCTCGTAGTTGAAGAAGGTGTTGAAGCAAAGCTTGTCTGTCAAAGGGCAGGTGGGTATGAGAGACCAAACACCCCAGCACTGGGGCCTGGGGAGCCAGGGGAGCATRGACAGGGGCTGCCTGCCCTCCCACTGCCCTTCAGCCAGGAGGTGACATGCCACCAAAGCCATCCCATCCCCTTCCCTCCAGGCTCCTTGACCCCATAGATGAGACCACAGCTACTGTCAGCAAGGGCTGCATCCCTGCAGGTGTCAGGAGGCAGGGGGATGGCTGGACACAGCCAGGAGAACGAGAAATTTGGAGTGACCACACTGGTGAGCTCAGAAGGATGGGATTGGGGGATACAAAGCCCAGGGCTGCACGATGACCCAGTGAGCAGCAGGATTAGCAGCCTGGGGTATTAGCCCTRTCCAAAATCCCCAGAAAGGGCTGCATTTGAGGAACAGGCTTGGAAAGAGTCAAAGAAACATCMCCATTGCTGCTGTGGACAGGCCCCCATCACTGCAGTGGGATCCAGACACTGATGGGGCTTGGAGGGGACCTGTCCCACGGCATCAGTGCGGGGCCATCCCTCCCAAAAGGTGRGGTGAGGCGGGTTGTGAGGCCCATGGCAGCCAGCGTGACGCGTGCCTGAGCAGCCAGAGCTGCTGCAATGGTGACACAGCTCATGTCAGTGACTCAGCCTCAGCCGCCGGCGGAGCGGGAGATGCCTCTCCCCACTCACAGGGAATTGGGCATCCTGGCTCAGCTGGAGGGCACAGGGCTCTGGGCTGMAGGCTGGCACAAAGTGCAGCATCTCCACATCCAGAGCCCCAGCTCAGGGTCTCTCCTTCCCTGCTTCTTCCAGTCCCTTTGGTGCCCCACTCTGCCMTGCTGCCAGCTGGGTCCATGCTCTGAATCCCAACGGGCTGGCAGCAGTGGGGACCAGCCCAGCATCCCCCGTGTCCCTTCCCTGCCTGGCGTGGGCAGGCTGGCAGCCACCACCGGGGTGGCCGAGCACTCCTGGCYGTGGGCTTTGTGTCCAGCTGGGCATCCAAACCCCCCCGGTGCTTTCAGATGCCTGGGGGACCCGAGGTGAAGGAGCTGAGGCAGGGGCGATGTGCTGGCACCCCGTGGAGCCTCGGGCTCAGCCCTGCTGCCCTGCACCCCCAGCCCAGCTGCAGCACTCACGGTTGAGGCCCACATCGTGGTAGGTCAGGATGGCCGGGCGGTTGCCCTTGGGAGAGCCCCGGATGACCACGTGCAGCAGCCCGTAGGGGGTCTCAATGTCATGTTCCTGGGGAAGAGGAGAGATGGGGTGATGCCCACCCGCCCTAAGAATCCTTTCATCCTCTCCTGCCCCGCCATCACACCCTGCACTGCTGCTTCCCCGCACGGCTGGGTCCCGTGGGAAGGCAAGGGAAAAAGGAGCAGCTGTCCCAGGGAAAAAAAAAAA